TCGTTTCTGGATGGGCTGGTGGGATTACTTTTTTCTCGCAGCTGCGGCGAGCGCGCCAGCAGCGTCGGTAGAGTCGCACGGGCCGCGGGCGCCCTAATTGCAGGCGCGCGCGCGCCGAGCTAGCTAGCAAACCTACCGCCAGGGGGAGGGCTGGTGGGATTATGCGAAGCGTCTAGAATATTCCCACATCAGTGCTTGCACTGAAGGGTTCACACGGACATTGAAACACTGGGCGAACGTCCTGGGACAATTTCGGTGGCCGGCGGTTCCCGGGTTCCCCGCTCGGGGTTCCCAGGTTTCCGGTTGCAGGTTCTGGGCCGATTTCGGGATCCCACAATCGACTTCACCATCGATCGCATGGTCGATCTCACGATCCATCTCACTCAATCGATCCCAACATCGATATCACTATCGGTCTTACTATCGATTTCACGACGGTACCAGAGAAAGAGAGAACGAAAGTGCGTGTCTGTGCATTCTATAGACCATACATTGATTGGGGGTGATTAGGTGTTTCCTTTGGTGTAATATCTCCATTGCGGGAAGAGCCCCCTTGAGAGACATCAGCCTGAGAATCCCACGAGCTGAAACCATGCGCGCGCCGCCGAGCCGACCTCCGGGACGCAGACTCCATGTGGAATCCTATAGAATCCCTAAGGAAGCCTGTAGAACTCCTGGGGAATCCTATGGGATCCCCAAGGAGTCCTATGGGATGCCTAAGGGATTCCTAGGGAACCCCAAGGAATCCGATGGTAATCAGATCGGAAATCCTACGGAAATCCGATAGGAATCCTATAGGATGCCTCGGGGAGCCTATAAAACATTAATGGGTTTCCTAATGATTCCTAAGGAATGGGATTCCTAGGGAATCCCAAGGAATCCCATGGGAATCCTATGGGAATCCTATAGGAAACCTATAGGATCCCTAAGGAAGCCTATCGAAATCCGACGGAAGCCAGAGAAACCATATGGAAATCCTATAGGAACCCTGTGGGCCCATGGGCCCGGCGTCCCTCCGTGGCCTGCCCCAGAGGGGGGAGGCGCATGCCAAAATGGCTTGAACCACAAATGAAGAGGGAGAGGAGCTTCGGTGGAGCTCTCTGTGGGGCCAGAGCCACGATCCTCGAAAGGGGTGTGCCGAAATTGAGTTTCGGTGGAGTTCCTTGTGTGGCCAGGGCCACGATCCTACAGACGGGCGTGCCGAAATGATGTTTCTGTAAAACTCCCTGTGGAGTGTGTCGAAATGGAACTTCGGTAGAGCTCCCTGGGGGGCCAGGTGCGCCAGGCGCGCCAGGTGCGCCACGTACGTCAGGCGCGCCAGGTGCGCCAGGTGCGCCAGGCGCGCCAGGTGCGCCAGGTGCGCCACGCGCGCCAGGTGCGCCATGCGCGCCAAGCGCGCCAGGCGCGCCAGGTGCGCTCAATGCGCCACGTGCACCAGCCGCGCCAGGTGCGCCAGGCGCCCCAGCCGAACCAGGTGCGCCAAGTGCGCCAGATGCACCACGTGCGCCAGGCGCGCCAGGTACGCCAGATGCCAAGTGCGCCAGGTGCGCCACGTGCGCCAGGCGGGCCAGGCGCGCCACGTGCGCCATGCGCGCCAGGTGCGCCAGGTGCGCCAGGTGCGCCAGGTCCGCCAGGTGCGCCAGGTGCGCCAGGTGCGCCAGGTGCGCCAGGCGCGCCGAGTGCGCCAAGTGCGCCAGGTGCGCCAGGAGCGCCAGCCGCGCCAAGTATGCCAGGTGCGCCAGGTGCGCCAGGCGCGCCATGCGCGGCAGGCGCGCCATGCGCGCCAGGTGCGCCAGGTGCGCCACGTGCGCCAGGTGCGCCAGGTGCGCCAAGTGCGCCAGGTGCGCCAGGTGCGCCAGGCGCCCCAGCCGCGCCAGGTGCGCCAGGCGCGCCAAGTGCGCCAGGTGCGCCAGGCGCGCCAGGCGCGCCAGGCGCGCCAGATGCGCCAAGTGCGCCAGGTGTGCCAGGTGCGCCAGGTGTGCCAGGTGCGCCAGGCGCGCCAGGTGCCCCATGCGCGCCAGGTGAGCCCGGTGCGCCATGCGCGCCAGGTGCGCCAGGCGCGCCAGGTGCGCCAGGTGTGCCAGGTGCGCCAAGTGCGCCAGGTGCGCCAGGTGCCCCATGCGCGCCAGGTGCGCCAGGCGCGCAAGGTGCGCCAGGTGCGCCACGCGCCTCAGGCGCGCCAGGCGCGCCATGCGCGCCTGGTGCGCCAGGCGCTTGGTGCGCCAAGTGCGCCAGGCGCGCCAGGTGCGCCAAGTGCGCCAGGTGCGCCAGCCGCGCCATGTGCGCCAGGTGCGCCAGGTGCGCCAGGTGCGCCAGGTGCCCCATGCGCGCCAGGTGCGCCAGGCGCGCCAGGTGCGCAAGGTGCGCCAGGTGCGCCAGGCGCGCCATGTGCGCCAGCTGCGCCAGGTGCGCCAAGTGCGCCAGGTGCGCCAGGCGCTTGGTGCGCCAAATGCGCCAGGCGCGCCAGGTGCGCCAGGTGCGCCAGGTGCGCCAGGTGCGCCAAGTGCGCCAGGTGCGCCAGGCGCGCCAGGTGCGCCAGGTGAGTCAGGTGCGCCAGGCGCGCCAGGTGCGCCAGGTGCGCCAGGTGAGCCAGGTGCGCCATGCGCGCCAGGTGCGCCAGGTGCGCCAGGTGCGCCAGGTGCGCCACGTGCGCCAGGTGCGCCAGGTGCGCCACGTGCGCCAGGTGTGCCAGGTGCGCCAGGCGCGCCACGCGCCTCAGGCGCGCCAGGCGCGCCAGGCGCGCCCGGCGCGCCAGGTGCGCCAAGTGCGCCAAGCGCGCCATGTGCGCCAGGTGCGCCAAGTGCGCCAGGTGCGCCAGCTGCGCCAAGTGCGCCAGGTGCGCCAGGTGCGCCAGGTGCGCCAGGTGCGCCATGCGCGCCAGGTGCGCCATGCGCGCCAGGCGCGCCAGGTGCGCCAAGTGCGCCAGGTGCGCCAGGTGCGCCAGGTGCACCAGGTGCGCCACACACGCCAGGCGCGCCAGCGGCTGGGTTGCTGGTGACTGGTTGCTGGGGGGGGGCCGGGTGGCACAGTGCAGCGTCAATCAACAACAACAACAACAACAACAACAACAATTACTAGCACGTGGGGACACTCCGTTCTCACCAGTGCCAGGGTTTTCATAGGAGGCGGGCAATACCCCCACTTTGTGGGGGGGCCCGTTCAAGCTCTACCAAATTTCCAAACGACTCTTCGCCACCACCCACACCCAGCTTCCCGCCCTATGACGTTCGGACACTTCACTTCGTGGCATGCGGACGACCGTGGCTACTATTCAGGCCCCGCGGCCGACGACGACGGCGTGCGCGCGCGAAGAAAAAACGAATGTGTCCCGCATGGTATTATTTGACAGGGATGATGGCCCTGGCAGGTGCGCAACCGTTGTTGCAGAAGTTCGAAACAGTTGCTCGCAAAAGCCCGTTTGACAGAAATGTTTAAAAAGTGTTGGTTTTCCTACGAATCCGCAAGAGCGCGCGGGATGAGATTTTGACATTTTTTTGTTGAAAACCATTGGTTTTTTGATGTTTTTATGTTAAAATCGCTCAGAACACTAAGCTTTTGGAAG